TAAAATTTTTCTTAATTTATATACGAATTATAATATCATAATAGTTATTTATAATATGGATACATTTTACATTGGTTTTTATCTCATCCAGTCAAATCTTAATTCAGTTTTGCCTGAAAAAAATAATAATATTTAAAGTTATATTATAGTGAGCAATTAAAAGTTATCGTACTATTGTATTCTTATTTATTCTGTTTAACTTTTTTTTAAACTATTATTAATATTTCACTCAATAATTTATTATTTGAAAATATTCTTTTATCGCAAATATTGTTTGGAAACGACGAATATATTATTCGGATTAATATTAAAATTACAGTGTAGTGTATTTATTCCTCAAGAAAAATGTAATATAAATATAAATCATAAAAAATAAAAATGTATAAATGTAAAATATTTTGCAGTAACATATATTTGTTTGAAAGACTTAAAAGTGATAAGCGAAACTTACCTCTCTATGAATGGCGAGCACGCCGTCATCCTCACTGCTGAGGATTTCTATATATGCCTTCTTACTTTGATCTACTGTTACAACTTTACCAGTGCACTTATTGTTCTCCAAATTTCCAGAAATAACATCACAGTATTTGCCGGGTTCCAAGCAAGTATATAGAGTTTGCTTCAAGTCATAATTGTCGTTGTTGAATGCGATGAATCCTGCATTTCCACGACAGAAAGCGATCTGATTGTTGCCATTATCCCACCAATTGTTGACGCCTGTATTATTCACAGCGTTTCGGAAGCGCACCATATTATAAATCTGACGCCATCGATGCTCGCAGACAAAGCCGTTATCGCAGGTATTGTCAGACTTAATGATTGGGGATTTAAGATTGCCAGATGAATCTTGCGGCGGAGTGGCATCAAAGTGATCAAAATAATAGGAGCTCATGATACGCGGAATTCCGAAAGAGTGTCCCAACATAAAGGCAACACCCATCTGCAATATCATTTATTATCGAATTCGCATTAGAATAAAAATATATCTTAGCCTTAATATTAGACCGTTTTTTAATTGCTTCAATTTCCTCAAAGATGACTTGCCTTGTACTTTTTCGATGACTTGTAGGTGAGTATACTGGGATTACCACGCTGAGTGTCATGATTGTCAATAAATACCAGAGCATCCCCTGATGGTAACAGGCCCCACTTTTCACCCCAATTGACAAACCATTTTAACTGATTGTGCCCATTCAAAGCGTTGCTAATCTCCATTCCATGTCGGAATTCCGTTACCGTGCCGAAGGAATTATATTCGTATTTACTGACAGCTTCACCGCCATAATCGATCACTTCTTGAGTTATGAAGGGTCGCGAATTTGATGGGAAAAATTTGGTATTGAGATTTTTCAGTCGAGAGTAAATTATTTGTAAATCCGCCGGCCACATGTGTTTTGCTGCGTCCACTCTGAAATTCAGAATTCAATGAAATTCTTTTATTTTGGAAAAATATGAAGAAATACTGTATTTTGTACTTTACTTGATTATCATCGCTGTTAATTGATTTAAGAAATTACAAAAATATTAAAAATTTTAAGCAATTAAAAAGAAATTTTTTGTTTACAATTTTTATTTATATTAAAACAGGCAGAATTATGTAGAAATATTTTTATAAATAAAAATAAATAATTTTGCAGAGAATTATTTATCAAAAAAATGCAATGGGATCGTATGAAACTCAAAGGCTCTACTAACCGAAAACCAGCGACTCCAGCGTCAATAGCTCCGTTCAAGAAATCGACAATCTTTTCTTTGACCCATTCCTTCGATTGATCGAGGTCGTGCAGACCGGACAATTCACAGTTCCGCACATTTCCTGCATCTTGATAATTCTTGGCTTCGCAAGGATAATGAAAATCGGTTCGGGAATAAGGAACCGCCGGATAGCTGAAGTCATAAGTGTTCGCTGTTGAACCGCCGGTACCCCTAGCGTTATCATGATTGCCGCTCATGTGATTGAACACTACGTCAACGTAAATCCTCACGCCGACATCGTTACATCTGCGAACCATGTTCTCGAATTCTTGTGGGGTGCCCGATCTCGTGTCCCATTTATAAGATATAGGCTGGTAGCGTTCCCACCATGGTCTATTACCTATGACCACATTCTCTTGAATCGGAGAAACCTATAATAATTTATTTATATATTTTAATTATTTGTCCGATTGGATATATAAATTAAAAATTGCTGTTTAGAGGCAAAAGTCAGTGTTTAAGAAAAATATTTTTTGGAACGTATTTATTAAAATTTTATCAGTTAATAAATTTCTTTAGGATCAACCCTCGATCTAGCATTTCAGAAAAACACATTCACAAATTTTCAAAAAAATTTTCTGCATATTCTAAATTTTTCTGAAAATTTGCTAATCATTTTTGACTTACCTGTACGCCACCAAATCCCATGGGACTCAGGAATCTTTCGCATTCATCTGCGATATCGTTCCATTTCCATTCGAAGAGGTGCACCATTCCATCATGGCCGGGTGCATAGTGCAGATCTTTTTGAGCGACTACCGTTGATAGTATCGCTAACACGCACACTAGTCGTTGCATCTTGCACATTAATGACTGACGCAAAATATCTCACGGAAATATATAACCGCACTGGATGCCTGCACACACAAAGGTTGGTATTGTCTTTCTAACTGACATTACGTGATGTTTTCATTGACTCTACATTATATTGCGTCATCAACCGATAAAACACATTTATCGCACAAATACAAATCAATAAATGTTTTATGCGAGTCCTAGTTAATTAGCTACATTACACTAATTAGCTATACTAATTTGTTTGTGTTGATCAAATATCAATGGCCAAGGTTGCAGCTGTAATAATTTGCATAAATGTTATCTAACGGTTGTTATCCCATAAAAATACGGAACAATAATATAAATCATTGTATTAAATTTTTTATTGAAATAGTGATAACAATTTAAATATAATTATTAAATATATTGTTATATTCTATAAAAAACAAATGGTTTTGTTGGGTTTTTTCTAATATAAAATATAAAATAATATAAAATTTTGTTTTAAAATCATTTATATCAATTGACATCTTCATGAATCTCTAAATTTATTCGTATACATTACTTCGCGAAATATATGTACATATATTTTGTGCTATTCGGATCCTTAATCTCATTACAGTTAATCTCATTACAGTTAAGTAATTACATTCTATCATTTTTATTTCTGTTTGATATTTGTTTTTATAATTATGTACTTTACATTGTTTTATTTTCACATCGATTTGGAATAAAGACAATGATATATTTTGATTGATTCTATTTTTTTAAATCGACAGAATCGGCATATACAATTAGGCAGTTTTTATACCTATTTTGTGAATTAATAACTGTAATAAATAATTTCTAGAATTTCTAGAATTTCCACATTTGTATAAGCCACCATTCTTTTGATTTAAAACGCGATTTTGAATAAAAATACGGTCTTAGTTAGTATATATAATTATTTTTTTATCATTTTATATGATTTATCTAATTTTATCTAAACTAAATAAGAGTTAAAAAATTTATTTTGTTATTTCTTTAAATAAATATTCAATTGCTCATGTACATTTTTATAACATAGTGTTGACTCTTACATTAATTATAATTATTAATTTAATCAATTTTTAAATTCTTGTCATTTTGGTAAACATGTTTGTACAATTATTATATTATTATGTTATTAATGGAGCATAACAGTTATAAAACTGGTAAATATTTTTAAAATAAAAATTGCTTGCAATTCTGGAAATCGTATATTTACGAATAACTCGTTTTAAGAGATATGTCACACTTCTTTGTAATTTTTCATTGATAAAACAATTCGTGGATTATAACTTCAACAGATCAGAGACAAGGTCATTTATTAATTTAGGAAGTGTTCGATTGTTACATCTATTGAGATAACAAGAAAATGTGCAACATAAGATAATAATGTTTTTGAAGATTATACAGAGTGTGATGATTAATGATACAACAGCTTTGTGTACAACTTAGTGTACAACTAAAGCTGGTCAAACTGAGCAAAACGATCTTTTATTATTTTGCGATTTTCGCATTTAGTAATGAATTATTAATTAATTAAAAGTACCGAATAAGCGTGTATCCGTCAACAAATGCACGCAACGAAATACGATTATCTTACAAGCAACTCGCGATTGCTAAAAGCGCATGTTGAAATGTTTGGAAGTACTTATGCTATAGGCAGAGACATGTTCTATCACATTTGTAAAACATACATTTAAACATTTCGCCGCGCATTACAAACTTGTCTAATGCTGGCTGTTTCGCGTCTTGTTGGGCGCTTACATTTTCCAACAAACCGGTCAAATACTTATGCTTATTCGACAATTTTTATTAACTAATAACTCATTACTATTTGTAAAATTAAAAAATGGATCTTTCTAGAAAATCTTTCTACTCGGTTTTGATCCGTTCTATCTGCACACAAATATTGTATCATTAAATATCAGAGACATCATATAAAAAGTAAACAAAGTCATTGTGAGATGGTCACTCCATAAATATATCAATTATCTTTATTGTTTTGTTATACGTGGATGTCTGTAAGAATTATTAAATATAATAACACAAATCAAATTTTTTGCAGAAAATTTTGTTTCAAAAAAGTTTCCATCATACGAATGTTATTTGAATTTTTTATATTTCATGTGCAATAATTCTGAGCAGATTCGTTAATCATATTAAATGTAGCATAGGAATATTTCTAAAATCTTTCACATAAAGTATTTTATTAACGAATTCGAGAATTAGTGTGCGTGTCACATGCGAACACGTAACGTATCATGTTCGCATCGCGTAATATAGAATTATCTTTCGTTTTGCGATGACAAATATATCGAATAAATATATATTCTTTTAAAAATTATCTGTTTAAATATTTTACCAAATTAAATTTTTATTTTTATGATGAAGTTTGTAAATAAACGGATTTTGTTTGATACAAACAGAACATTTAATTTTATTATTCAAAAATGCATCAAGATACTCTCGAGATTTATCATTAAATTGAAATTTATGCATTTAATGTTTCTTTCGAAGTATAAGAAGTGAAACAAAAATATTTAATAATTAATCAAACGAATGCCTATCATTCTAAAGTCTTCCAAGGCGACGCTATCGAAATATTCGGATTAATTTCCTATGCGCGATGGGACATTACATATTATTCTCGATTACTTGAGATACTTTCGATTACTTGACATCTTAGTCGTCGATCAATAACTTCTTTGAATGGCCGAAATCGTATCTCTGTGTGGCATATGAAAAACCAACCGAAATGACTTTTACTTAAACAAGATCACTGTACAAAACATTTAAGCATTTATTTATATTGTACTTCTACAAATGTAATATTTTATTTAGTATTTTAGACCTTGCTCTGTTAACACTCTGTCGTGTATTATTTTAACTGTCATATTATGTATAGTAGAAATTAATGGTGAAAATAGGAAAAACAATGCATTATTTCTGTTAAAATAAACATTGTTGAAAGATAAATATATTTTATTTAATTTTACCGACTGTTATATTTTCAGACAAATATTTATGGAATTATGATTCATCTTTAATGGCAAATATATATCAATGGGGGAGTTGTTATCAGATTTGATAAAATGATAAAAATCGATGACCGATTATTTGTGCTCTTGACAATATAAATTGGATAAAGGGTCAGATAATTAATTTTTTATTGATATATCTATACTTTATTTTTAACAAGATACACAAGCAAGTTATAATTTCGAATGAATAATATGAATAAAATTTTTCTTAATTTATATACGAATTATAATATCATAATAGTTATTATAGTGTGGATACATTTTACATCGGTCCTTATTTCATCCAGTCAGATTTTAATTCAGTTTTGCCTGAAAAAAATAATAATATTTAAAGTTATATTATAATGAGCAATTAAAAGTTATCATACTATTGTATTCTTATTTATTCTTTTTAACTTTTTTTAAAACTGTTATTATATTTCACTTAATAATTTATTATTTGAAAATATTCTTATATTGCAAATATTGTTTGGAAACAAATATATTATTCGGATTAATATTAAAATTACAGTGTACTGTATTTACTCCTCAAGAAAAATGTAATATAAATAAAAATCAATAAAAAAATAAATGCATAAATGTAAAATATTTTGCAGTAACATATATTTATTTGAAAGACTTAAAAGTGATAAGCGAAACTTACCCCTGTATGAATGGCGACTACACCGTCGTCCTGATTGTTGGGGATTTCTATATATGCATTCCTATTTTGATCTACTGTTACAACTTTACCAGTACACCTATTGTTCTCCAAATTTCCAGAAATAACATCGCAGTATCTGCCAGGCTCCAAGCAGGTATGTAGAGTTTGCCTCAAGTCATAACCATCGTTATTGATTGCGATGAATCCTGCATTTCCACGACAGAAAGCGATCTGATTGTTGCCATTATCCCACCAATTGTTGACGCCTGTATTTTTCACAGCGTTTCGGAAGCGCACCATATTATAAATCTGACGCCATCGATGCTCGCAGACAAAGCCGTTACCGCAGGTATTATCAGAGTTGATCATTGGGGATTTAAGATTGCCAGATGAATCTTGCGGCGGAGTGGCATCAAAGTGATCAAAATAATAGGAGCTCATGATACGCGGAATTCCGTAAGGGTGCCCCAACATAAGGGCAACAGCCATCTGCAATATCATTTATTATCGAATTCGCATTAGAATAAAAATATATTTTAGCCTTAATATTAGCCCGTTTTTTTTGCTTCAATTTCCTCGAAGATGACTTGCCTTGTATTTTTTCGATGACTTGTAGGTGAGTATATTGGCATTACCACGCTGAGTGTCATGATTGTCAATAAATACCAGAGCATCCCCTGATGGTAACAGGCCCCACTTTTCACCCCAATTGACAAACCATTTTAATTGATTGCGCCCATTCAAAGCATTGCTGACTTCCATTCCATATCGGAATTCCGTTACCGTGCCGAAGGAATTATATTCGTATTTACTGACAGCTTCACCGCCATAATCGATCACTTCTTGAGTTATGAACGGTCGCGCACCTTGTGGGAAATACTGGGAATTGAGATTTTTCAATCGAGAGTAAATCACTTTTAAATCCGCCGGCCACATATGTTTTGCTGCGTCTACTCTGAAATCCAGAATTAATCAAACTCTTTTATTGTGGAAAAATATGAAGAAATATTGTATTTTTGTATTTTACTTGATTATGGTCGCTATTTAATTGATTTAAGAAATAAAAAAAAGATTATTAAAAATTTAAGCAATTAAAAAAAGAATTTTTGTTTATAATTTTATTTATATTAAAACAAGCAACATTATGTGGAAATATTCCTAGAAATAATTCCGCAGAGAATTATTTATCAAAAAAATGGATAAAAAAATGTAATCGGATCGCATATAAAACTCAAAGAGATCGCATATGACTCTCTACTCTACTAACCGAAAACCAGCGACTCCAGCATCAATAGCTCCGTTCAAGAAATCGACAATCTTTCCTCTGACCCATTCCTTCGATTGATCGAGGTCGTGCAGACCGACCAATTCACAGTTTCGCACATTTCCTGGATCTTGATAATTCTTGGCTTCGCAAGGAGAATGAAAATCGGTTCGGGAATAAGGAACCGCCGGATAGCTGAAGTCATAAGTGTTCGCTGTTGAACCGCCGGTACCCCTAGCGTTATTCCAATTGCCGCTCATGTGATTGAACACTACGTCAACGTAAATCCTTACGCCGACATTGTTACATCTGCGAACCATGTTCTCGAATTCTTGTGGCGTGCCCGATCTCGTGTGCCATTTATAAGATATAGGCTGGTAGCGTTCCCACCATGGTCTATTGCCTATGGCCACATTTTCTTGAATCGGAGAAACCTATAACAATTTATTTATATATTTTAATTATTTGCCCGATTGATATATAAATTAAAGATTGCTATTTAGAGGCAAAAGTCAGTTTTTTAATGAAAATATTTCTTGAAACGTATTCATTAAAATTTTATCAGTTAATAAATTTCTTTAGGATCAACCCTCGATCTAGCATTTCAGAAAAACGCATTCACAAATTTTTCAAAGAATCTTCTGCAGAGTCTAAGTTTTTTTGAAAATTTGCTAAACATTTTCGTTTGACTTACCTGTACGCCACCAAATCCCATGGGACTCAGGAATCTTTCGCATTCATCTGCGATGTCGTTCCATTTCCATTCAAAGAGGTGCACCATTCCATCATGGCCGGGCGCATAGTGCGGATCTTTTTGAGCGACTACCGTTGATAGTATCGCCAATGCGCACAGTAGTCGTTGCATCTTGCACATTAATGAATTTCGCACTGATGCGAAATATCTGTCACATTAATGAATTTCGCACTGATGCAAGATTTGTCACGAAAATATATACCCGCACCGGATACCCACACATACAAAGGTTGTTTTTCTAGTTATGACTTTACGTCATGTTTGAACTAATTCTACATTATATTGCGTCAACAACCGATAAAACATATTTAATGTACAAATATAAAATGTTTTATGCAATTAATTTGTCTTAATAAAATATCAGTAAAATGAAATATCAAACCAAGGTTGCAGCTGTAATAATATTTGCATAAATATTACCTAACCGCTGTTATCCTAAAAAAATACAGAACAATATAAGTCATCGTACTAAATTTTTTATTGAAATACTGATAACAATTTAACTATAATTATTAAATATTATATTCTATAAAAAACAAATGGTTTCGCTGGTTTTTGTCTAATATAAAGTATAATATGATATAAAGTTTTGAACATTGTTATAAAATCGTTTGTTGATATCTTTATGCATTTCTACAGTTATTCGTATATATTATTTTGCAAAATATATGTATGTATATTTTGCGCTATTCGGATCTTTAATCTCATTACAGTTTAATTATACTGTATTATTTTTGGACTATTTTTATCTATGTTTGATATTTGTTTTTTATTCTTATAATTATGTACTTTATATTGTTTTATTTTCACAACAACTTGGAACAAAGACAATGATACATTTTAATTGACTTCACTTTTTTTAATCGTAAGAATCATGACATATACAGTTAGACAAGATTTTTACGCTTATATTATAAATTTAAATTAATAGATGCAATAAATAATTTCTAGAATTTCTAGAATCCACGTTTGTATATGTCGCTTTCGAAAACGCGGTTTTGACTCATTACTATTTATAAAAATAAAAAAAATGGATCTTTCTAGAAAATCTTTTTACTCGATTTTGATCCGTTCTATCTGCATACAAGCATTGTATCATTAAATATCGGAGATATTGTATAAAAGGTATAAAAAGTCATTGTGAGAGGGTCACCCATAAATATATTAATTATTTTTATTATTTGGTTTTATTATATGTGAATGTCTTCAAGAATTGGATATAATAACGACACAAATTCAAATTTTTTGCAAATAAAAACTCTCTTTCAAGAAGTTTCAAAATTATTTCAATCTTTCATATTTCATGTACAATAATTCTGAACAGATTCTGCAATCATATTAAATGTAGCACAGAAATATTTTTAAAATCTTTCACATTTTACTAATTCGAGAATTTGTGTGTGTGTGTGTGTGTGTGTGTGTGTGTCAGGATCTAATTGTAGATTATTTATAATATTTTAATTTACGGAATATAAAGCAATGTTTATATTAAATAATATTATTCAATATCAAATATTTTTAATAACCAATTATATTTATTAAATGTATTAATTTATATCTGAAAACTTTTAGGATAAAAATATAAATTTTTATTCTTATAATTATCCAGAATTACTGCTTATCATATTTTAAAAAAACTATTTAATATTTCAAAATATTTTTCTGAATAATACATTTTTAATTCAGGTAATTGATCAGGTAATTAATAAAAAAAAATTTTGTTTGACATCATATCATTTTGCAAACGTGTCATATATTTATATATATGTGATAAAGTACAATCATACATACATATTATTATAACATGAATACGTGCAATGTATAATATTATATGCTTTTTAAATTTATAATTATATTAGTACTTATGACTACTATAATCTATACACTAATATAATATATATCTGAATATGTTGCGTTCACATTGGTTGTCCTGTATTTGTGTTCCTTATAGTTTTGCCTGCAATCATATGAAAATTTAGATAATACTATCGTATCTTTTGTTATCTTTCTTTTTATCGCTTACTCATTGCACTGACCTGAATATGAAGAGCGAGCACACCTTCCAAGTCGTTTGTTGTAATATTAATATCAGCATTACCAGCATTGTCAACTACCACTGACTTTCCGCTACACTCGCCGTTGATAACATCTCCAGTTATAATATCGCAATATGTCCCTGCGGGCAATCCGGTTTGCAACTGTTCGTGTAAATCAAATCCCTCTACGTTAAAGGCGACGAAACCTTTATTGCCGCGAGAGAAGGCAATCTGATTCTTTCCATTGCTCCACCAATTTTTTATATCTTCGCCGTTTACTAAATTGCGAAATTGGACCATGCGGTAGATTTGCGGCCATCTATGTTCGCAGACCCAACCGTTGACGCATTGACCGTCGACGATTTCGGGCGAAATGATACTGCCATCTGAATTCGCCGGCGGCCCTTGACTGGGATGAGTAAACTTGAAGGAGCTCATGACGCGAGCATTACCGTAAGGATGAGCAAGCATAAATGTTACAGCCATCTACATGGGATACAATGAAGATATTTTTAAGTAGATTTTTTTTTATAGAACAGCTAAACTTCATTTATATATATTTACAAAAATATCGTTTTTCAAAATATAAAACTTTACCTTGTATGGTCTTGGGTCCTTATGTGTCAAAATGGAAACCCCACCAGCACCGTGACCTCTTTGGTTATCATGATTGTCAACCATAGTTAATGCGTCCTCGGAAGGTATTAATCTCCAAACGCTTCCATTACCAAAAGCTTGCAGCCTTGCCAAATTGTCCTTCTTCCGGAACATTTCACCCAAAATGATGCCAGGCAGAAACTCAATGACACTTGCTTTCTTATTATATTCGAATTTGGAAACAGCCTCACCACCGAGATCGATGACTTCCTGATAGATATAACTCTCTGCATTCTTAGGAAATCCATTTTTAGGAGACAGCCTCTTTATCTTTTTGTAAATGGCCTCAAGATCATGCGGCCACATGTGTTTGGCAGCGTCAATACTGCAAAGATAGTAAAAAATTAGAAAATAACAATACATTTAATAAACAATATATTTGTATATATTATTTGTATCAGTGATAAAACGGACTCTATTTGATTTTTAAGTGATGAGTAACAGAAAGTTTTATCAGTTGCAGAGCAATTAATTAAAAAATTTATAAAAAGATATTCTTATTTAATAATACAAGAGAGGAATCATCAAGGATGTTATGTGAAATTGCAACATCGTGAATGATTATTCTGCGCGAAAAATAAACCGTGATTAATTGATGTACTTAATAAAAAAAAAAAATGCGCACCGTATCGAAGTTGCACCGAGTAACGCGAAAAATTTTCCATACATTTTTCTTACTGCAGAAACCTTATTATAAATAGCCGCTAATTCCGAATACCTTTTATTTCGCATATGGCACGCAGGAGGGATCGGTAGCTAACGTGGCTCCGGTCAGGGGTTCAACATCCCAAACAGTTATTTCCGCGCCGAATTATTCCGAGCCTCGGCTCGAGGAGTCGGCTCGTTAATTAATTAATGCTATTCGATCAATTAAGATTTTTTACCGTTTGACCGTGAATACCGCGAACTTCATTGAATTTAATCGTATATTCGCGGTAATCACCTCCGTATTTGCTAAAGGTTTCTATTTGCAATTTGCAGTACGGTAGTTGACGCGTCGAAGGTCAGAGTTCATTGCAGGCACTTGCGGAAAATGACGCGATCAGATAGCGTTATTTATTTCCGTTTATTATTCGTTTTGTAATTTACTTGCAGATAACATACGATAAGGTAAAGAATTATTTATGAGCTGTCATGATTCCGATTAATTGACCGAGTTACTCATGGTGGATTATCATTGAATATCTGTCCATATGTTTGCTTTTATTCACAGATAACATTTTAATTACATAACACGCTAAAAACAAAATTACAATTACGAAAAGGATACACGCGTGTTCATCAGAGAAATGAAAGAAAGTACATGTGAAGTACACGTGAAAAAAGATAATATTGATATTTGGAATTATATTTTTGTTACAATTACGAAAACGATACACGCGTCTTTATCGGAGAAATGAAAAAGGTACACACGAAGTTCACGTGAAAGAAGATAATATTGATATTACAAATTATCATTAAGAAACAAGATAATTTTTTTATAAGCTGTTCAAATAACATAATTATATAAAATTATTACAGTTTAGTGCTCATTTTATACTTATTTTATCATCATTTTTTATTTATATATTTATATACTCATACAAGATTTGGCAAAATGCCAAATGAAAAAAATATTCTTCTGTTATATCAAATTATCTTTACCAGTTACATGACAGTCTATGTTGCTATTATATATGTAATTTAGAAGCACAACTTTGTTACTTTTCGATATCAATAATAAAATCTGTTTTGTAAATTAGAAAGAACAATATTGCTTGAGTAAATTTAACTTCGAAAGAAGTTTACGGCTCCGAAGCAAAACTTTATTCTTAGAAAATCTCAAAGTTGTTGCAAAGAAACCGTTACTACCCTAATGATGAAAAAAAAAAACCCAATTTTAGAGCATAACGCGTAACAAATAGTATACGTAATATTATAATTATTTTGAGCGTGTCTCAACTGTTTTTGTCGTGCAGCAATTAATGAAACTCGCCGCGGTAAGAATGTAACATATTGTGTCAGCAAGCTCCTTTCTGTGCACGCACTGTGACTTTAACGGCTGCACTTTTGCGGCTGTCACGATTTCTTAATACGTGCCATCAACGCTGCATTCCTTTTCTCGAAATATATGCAAAACATTCGCAGTCCGCGGACGCGACGCGTAGCGCGGCCTCCAAGACGGCAGCGCGCCCCGTTATCATTCCCGACGCGTATATCGTTCTTCCGCTTGCTACAGCCACCGGTTCGGTACGAGATGGTACGATTTCGCTGCGGGTTACAATTACGAGCGAGGCGCGTAATTAAAAGCCGATGTCTCTCATTTATTAATGCTACCAGACGAGCCGGCCTCTGTCAGCAAACCTGCGCGGCACCGCTCGTCCGGTTTAATGTTAAACATCATCAGTCTTCGGTGCGTCCTTGATGCGAGAAAGAGAAAGAGAAAAGAGAAGAAAGAGAGAGAGGGGCGCGGGTAGGGCTGCGGAACGCATCTTGCGAGTTTACACTTCGGATTTTTATGTCTCATTCGCATATTTCGCCGCGGAATGCGCATCGACCGAATGTGCATCGATGTTGCACGCAGAAGATAAAGATTATCGATCGGCGATCGTTAATTGCGGATGACTTAATTTTTTTATATTTTCTACGCCGAGTCAAGTTCCGGCTAGAAATTAACATATGACACAGGAAAATTCATAATCAAACATCTCGAATGTCAATGTCGAGAAATCTTTTTAGCATTAAATTTTTTAGTATTTTCTATAAATTTTAATTTTACATAAATAAAGTTAACTCTATCTTTTCATTCTTACAAATTCTTGTCAAAAATGATATTTTTAATACAAAACACAAAAGATAGATTAATCGAAAATAATTACCGAAAGCCAGCGACTCCATAATCGATGAGCTTGTTAAAATAATTAATTATTTTTCTACGGACGCGCAGTTTGCTCTGGTCAAGATCGTGAAGGCCGGACAACTCGCAGTTACGGACCTCTGTAGCATTGTTATAATTCTGGATGGTGCATATCGGATGGTTAAAGTCCTTGGAAGTGTATGGTACTCCCGGATAACTCAACTTCTGTGGTTTTGCTGACGTACCACCGGTGCCGTACGCGGGTTGCGCGTTTCCTGACATATGATTGATGATGGCATCAACATATATCCGCACACCAACTTTGTTACATCTCCTTACCATATCCTTAAATTCGGCTCCATTCCCAGATCGAGTGATAATCTTGTAAGAGATTGGTTGATATCTTTCGTACCATGGTCTGTTCTCTATTACGAGATTCTCATTGACGGGAGAAACCTATGACAGTACGACAGAAAGAGTCAATTTTATGCATCATGCATTATGTATTATGCTTTCTATACAATTATGTTTTAATTTAATGTAAACATAAAAAATAACTTAAAAAAACTTTTATTTTATTCTTAAAAAAATTTTTTAATCTTTAAAAATAAAATAAAAAGGTTTAAGTAAAATTAATTGTTTTCTTTTAATTAATAAAATAATGGCCAAGCTCAATTGCACCTAATATTGGCAACCTCAAAATTTCGTTATTTTTAATACTGGCGACCAGATGAATATATTACTAGCAGTTTTTTTTATATTAAATACCAATATAATCTAATAGTCCTTTTACGTTTAGATAATAATTATGGTTAAATAATCTTTTTTGTTTTTTAAATTATATTATATAGTTCTAAAATCATAAATACAGTTATGTGTATTAGTTACATATATGTTAGAAGTGTAATTAAATAATATATTGGATATTACTCTAATATATCGGATATAATTCCAAAAATTTATTTGACATCTTTATATTTTATTTAATTATTTTATTCATATTTGCCTCAACTCAGATATATATCAAGTAATTTTTAGAATTTTATAATTCTAAAATCGATATGAGAATATAATATTCAATATGAGAATATAATATTCGATATATCCAAAATAATATCCAATGTATTATAATTTCTAGTATTAAAATAATAATGTTACAATATATAATAGTACCTTCCAGAATATATCGATGATTCAAGTGTTAGAAATAAGAACATATATCGATATTTAGATACTTGTTGAAGTTACCTGTCCTTCCAAGATGCCAGTATTATATTCAATTTATGATTAATGATACTGTTGTATTAAGGAAAAACATAAAAAAAATGAACATATTACTGGCATTAATAAACATATTATACAAATTAATAATTTAGCCAATATTTTTCTTTTCTCTTTTTTATTTCAACACTATTTTATCTTAAAAAATGTGTTTCCGTGAGACTAATTAATCAAATTTGCTTATAATCGCTTATCTTTGCAGTTACTTATTATCTAGTTCACTAATAAAAATAGACTCAGCTAAAAAATTTCTTGATCTTTAAGTTTTATTTTTAATTAAAGAATTGATTTTCATTTTCAATTAATTATTATAATAATAATCAGATACGTTAAAAATCCTATTAAAAATTAATAAAATAATATAAGATATAATTTTTACATCTCAAAAAGTATTTTAATTGACAGTAATGTAGCCACTGTCAATAATATAGTTTTTCATTTTCTATTTAAATTTTTTGATAAATAGATAAATAAAACAGAGAGAGAGGAGGGGACAGAGGAGAGACAAAAGTGCATTGAATCGGAATGTGGGTAGACTAAAAAAGAGTAAATTACCATAGATTTAATCTAAAATTAAACTTAATCATATTAGGTTAAAGATAAGATAAATATAACCTAGACTAGAAATAAAATTAAGATAAATACGCGCGGAGACATAAGAAAAACTTGGCATCAAAATGGGAAGAAACTTGTAATCAATAAAACTGTACTTATTATTACATATTTATGTATATATGATAATTCGTACAACAAAAAGTACTTGTAAATAATCATTATTAATATATTTTATACGTACTTGAACACCGCCATAGCCCATCGGACCAAGAAAATCCTCGCATTCTTTCGCAATGTCGACGAATTTCCATTCGAATAAATGAACCATAACAGTTCTACCGTTTACATAATGCGGATCTTTATGGGCAAATGTAAACGCCAATAAAGATATAAAACTGAGAATAAAGAACGTCATTGTGAACGTATTGTGATATTAAACACAAAACCAGACTGCATTCGAAAAAAGCATTTTTGATATCTCTGGGTATTTTATAGAAAAAATTCCGTTGTTGACATACAACGATTAATGATATCTGACAAATGGTGTGATGCTCGTGATAAATGTTACTAGTGTTAGTAGAGCAAATAATAATAATCGTCACGTACATTACATTATTGCATTTGCCATTTTTTCTGAGACCGTGATGTTAATTGCTGATGGCCAAGGTGATTCCACCACAGCTGACAGCTGTTCGATGGTTCGATGTGCAAAGCTAACAATTGTTATATCACGCAACATATGAATTATCAGAAAACAGACAAATAGAAAAATAAATTACATAACTACTCTTTTATAATATATTTGTAACATTCAAGTAGAATTTAATTATTTTTTTTCTGTATCGAAATTTTAAACATATAATATAATTACAAAAAATTAATGTAATTCAACTGTTTATGCCACTGTTTGAGGCATTTGTATGCAAGTTTTGTAACAAAAAGTATTTTAACAGAAGATTAAATTATATTTCTTATATCGTACTAATTGTAAATAATTTTTATATTAATCGTTAAATGTCCCTTTGCCTTTATTACTTGAATCTCGACAAAGTATAAGATATATTTTTATATCAAGGCACGAGGCACGAGTAATCTTAAATATCAAATCGAAGAATTGATGAAGAATATGATTTCACGTATTTTTGTAATAAAAAAACTTGAATATACGATTTGGTGACCTCATCGCTCGATTGGTATTTCGGATCAGGCCTTTTCAAAAGGCCGTTAACACCGACAGGACAGCTTCAAGATGGCAGATGGTACGATTGATAGATCGGGACGGACTAAATCTCACGATATCTTACGTCATAAAGCCAGGATGCTGGAAGGATAATTATTTGTGATGCGCCTGCCATCTGACGCTCGTAACGAGTCGAGTCGAGTCGAGTCGACCGGGGGAAAGAACAAGGTCGGCAGAGGCACGGGTGCGAAATGTCACGATAATATTCATCGATCTCTTTGGCGCGTAACACCTTTTGCTATTTATTTGGGATGATCCGTCTGCGATTTATCACCACGTTGATCGCTAAGCATTTCCCGCACGGTACGGTAGAACGAGAGGAATAACGTAATCCAGGTGCTGAACGTACGTGATTACACACAAAAAAAAAAAAAGAATAACGCGCCAAAGTAATACGCGTTGATACTGCCTTTTGTAAGTCAGAGAATTGAATTATCCTTTTCTACTATCTAATTATATTTATCGTGAATTCCGACAGGCACTTCAAAATCGTATTGTAAAATGAAGAACTCCACTTAGACATTACGTTTTCCTTTATTTATTTATTTATTTGGACTGATTTGGCTACGGCATATCACAGCATTAAATAGATCGAACTTTTAGGTAGAATTATATACCGATCGCCAGCGAGCTAACGGCTTGAACTTTATACAATTCCATAAGACTGTTTGTCTTTATTCCTTTCTGTCATATTCGAATGGAAGAAATGTCTTTTATACCGAAGAATATAGTAAGAATATAAAATTAAACGTAATAAATATTTCTTAATCAGTAAACGAAATTTAAACTTACTACATACAATGTTACATATTATTTGTTATTAATTTGAGAAATTTCTTCTTATGTGTGCATTTCATCGCAAAATAAATGGAAGATCAATGGATAGTAGCACAACATTGAATTCGTTAAAATGCGCATTAGCTGGTATAATTATAAAAAACAAATTATTAAAAAAGCCATTGAATTAACACGTTTACTATCACTAATTAATCACTTTATTTTTGCCAGGAACATTTCGTCGTAATTCTCTTAGAAAATAATTTTAGTGAACCGACGTTCGAGACAAGTTATAAAATTTTGAGCGTTTATAAGTGACCGAAACATAAATTATTAGTTGGACGCGCCTGCGCGTCGGTGACAGTGAACATGTTAATTAAGTTTCAATCAAAGTTATTTTAAACGAGCGAAAATAATCTCAGTAAGATATTTTGTGTTATTCGTACATTCAGTTCGATCGCTCGATTAACATTATGATGAGGAGTTCGCGCCATTTAGGCTGCTCAACGATATTATATATATATATATATATATTTTTTGTACATACATCTTATGTATAAAACAATAGAAATATCGCTGCGCACAAACAGACAACGATACATAGACAGATAAATATATCCACATTTATAAACTTACATCATTGACACACCTACGCAAACATAAGCTGCATATGCAACAAAACATTATCGAGGGCAACTGCGTTTTCATTTTTTTGCGCAGTTGTTGCTAATATTCTGTATTTTGATCTACGTATTAATAAATTTACTTAGAAATTAAATTGCTTCTGTAATCTCTATCAGACTGATATCTAACGTTACTAAGAACGCGCGAGGGTGTGTCTAAAAAAAAAAACTTTAGTGCATGTTCTTGAATTATAACGGACTGAAGTGTAACGTGTGTTTTGCAGCCGCCGCATGCATCGATTATACCTACATGTAGTTAGAAACTATAGCGATAGCATTTCGTTTTAGTGAAATTTATCTGGCGAGTATTTCAGACTTCTTTTACCGTACAGACCGTAGCTTCGCTGCGATCTCTGATTTTCCGATTAATTAATGGTATAACCGAGTGGAAAAAAATGAATATGTCTTGCGTCGGGTATAGCGACGTCCAGGCAAGCGGCCTGTGGCAACATCGGGTTCTCCAATGGGTCATCTGTTACTGTCAAATCGCCGTTCACGTTGCCCAGAAATGATATAGAATATACATCCCGCACCTCTCTCGACTATATAATATAAATCTATTTTTAACAAGCGTACATAGTACTCTCTCTGAGATAGTTGTTGTAACCACATATGTCTCGTAGTGAAAAGTTCGACACGGTAATGCGATTTCGTTGATTAATAATGCAAACGGTTCAATAAAGATCGATCATTTGTATCATCGTGAAGTTTATAATAGGCATATAATTTATGATAAGTCAGGAAATACGAGAAGTAGCAGTTGCATGAGATAAATTAAACGATGAGCGAACGATCATAAAAACGCAAATAATAAGTACTGCAGGTAAGAAACTACGTTTACGCCTTTTTTATTTAATTGATCCAAGTCAGTTATTTGCTCGCAGTGATGCATCCATTTGACTGAACGATACTATTGCGCGTCTATCGAGCGATAGAGAGAAAGCGTGACAAACGAAGCATCTTGTTTACATGCACATATTTACGTTTGCACACATTTTTACGTTTAACAGATACATATTTTCTCTTGCAACAATAACACGAGTACGAGTGTCTTGTTCCACAATCACAAGAACAATCGAGCCTAACGGAATCCCCCTGATTTATTACACCTAGAAATGGCGACTCGCATCTCGAGATTGCCGAGATTGCGGCGCTGGATGCGGCACCGTTAAAAACCCGGAAAAGAAAACTGATTACATGCACCAGCAGTTGACCAGATTCTGGCGCGCGTCACTTCGATGCGTCGAACATTAGAAACATTAAAGTTAAAGGAAAAATGCCGATTCTCCCTTAAGACATTAAGTTAACCCCCCCGGAAAGTGCGGGGCGCCGCGACGCGCTCTCAATTGCGGCTCGCATTCGCGGTATCTTTCGATATGGATGGATAAAGTCGTGTAGAGCCGTCGTAGCCGCGTGATAAATCGCTCGATGTATTTCCAAACGGAAGCGACGAGGCAAATAATTCGGAATTTAGAATATGTGCGTTTTGTACAGCCAGACGAGATTCGCGCGACCCTCGTGCCTCAGCACTATCCTGATGTAAAGTCCACTGGCTCCCTCGAGCGGCCGAATTCCCGGCTGCTCCTGATGCGGCTGCGGTTGCGGCCGCTGCTGCAATTCTCCGGAAGGTTGCTGCAACTTCGTTGACTTCTCTTTCCGTCGCTGCGCCTTTTCATCCTCTTGCTGCGCCGTTATCTCCACTATTTGCCGTTGTGCCGGTTGCACGAGTGGCTCTGGATGCGACGCTTCCACGAATTGTGCCTTCTCATCTTTTTCGCGCGTCTCTTTCTCCTTTTTCTCATTTTTATCCGACGGTTCTTGCTGTCGCTCGTCCCTTTGTTGTACCTTCGGCTGCTCATCCGCCTTTTGCAGCTGCGGCTGTTTATTATCCATCGTTTGCTGCTGGATACGCTGTTCATTTCTCGAGGGACTCTTCGCTCGCGTAACTTGCTGTTGCTCCTCTTTCTCCTTCTCCAACTTTTCTCGCTCCGGATCATGCTCCTGCTTCTTCTGCCGCAATGACTTTTCCTCCTCTTAGTTTTTCGTTGCAGCGCTTCCTGGTCTCGTTCTGTCATGCGTCGCAGTTGCTCCTCCAATTCTTGTTTACGTTGCAACAGCTGTTGTTCTTGCTGGAGTTTCCGTTGCTCTCTGTCCTTCTCTATCTTCTGACGGACTTGCTGCTGTAGGTGACCCGGCTCCTTTTGTTGTCCCGGCTGCACTTCTTCCCGCTTCTGTTGTTCCTGCTGTGGTTGCGGCTGATGCGCCTCCTGCTCCGCGTGCACCTGAACTTGGGATTCCTGCTGCTCTTGCTGTTGCTCCTGCTGCTGTTGCCGCTGCCGTTGCTGTCGCTCCTTCTGCTCCATTTCCCGTGCGACAGCATCATTTACCGGCGCCGCTTCTTCGTCGGGGCCACAAATATCCTCGGTTCGTCGAGGCTCGTCCGAAACGGCCGCGATCAATGCGGCCGTGGCCTGAGGTTAGTTGCTACCAGAATGTTGTTTCTGATCCGATCCGGCGTCGGAGCCGCTCGAGCTCAAGGTCGTGTTGCTGCCGTACGGATCCAGCGACGACTGGACCGACATGCTGCGACCCTGCCTCCTCACTCTGTGGGGGGAGAGTTTTCTGGGGTCGACACTGGTTGGGTCTGCCTGCAACAAATCCTTTCATAAAGAAACCGATCGCATCGAATCGCGCGAGGTGTGTTTTTACGCCTGCAAGTTAATTATGCCAATGACATTTCTTTTTTAAAACAAAGTATATGGAAATGCAACGCGCACCTGATAAGCTAAGGCGTTCATGATGATCTCCGGCGGCACCAACCCTAATGGATTCACTTCCTGCATCAACACGGTGGCCGGGATTTTGTGAAATTGAATATATTCGATAAAATTACCAATCACATCCTTCAACGGTGTGTTTTGATTGTTGTCGCAATACTTTTTACTCCACATCAGCGCGGCCTGAAAGCGAAAAGTCAGTTTGTAAAAGTGTCGTACGTGGGAAAGTGTCGAATAAAACGTCATCGATATATTTATATTCAGACTTACTTGGAATTTCGTAAATTCATCTGCGCGCAGTTCCTCTCGAGCGAGGATCAAGCGAACGACGTGTTGTGGCAATAATGTGAAGGATCCTAAATTCAATACTTCATTGCCATGCTCATCGACGAATTCTAGCACCTTTCGCGCAAAACAATTCCGTATTAATTTTAATTTCATTGGTCTTAATACGTATCTAAGCTAATAACAATTTATAAGAATCTTTGCGGTTGCGAGTGCAAATTTACCTTTTGAACCAAGGATTTCGTGCATTTGTACTGAATATAACGCTCCGCTGACGCTAACAAAGCGCAGACCGTGTCAACGGTTATACAACATTGGACAAAACCAGCACAGGCTCGTCTAAGCTCATCTAATCCATAATAATCGGCGGCGTTCATCACTCCTGCGGATATAAATTATCAACTATTCGAGAGATCGAATTTATAAATCATTAGATACGAAAAATAAAATTTGATATTTGTATTTTCAACGCGTAAAATTATCTCACGAATTTCTACACGTTTAGATCGCAAATATGTCGGCTAAGATAGAACGACAGGAAATACTTGTCGATAATGATTAATCTATCAGCGGCAAATAATAAGACACTCTAATTGGCTTGTTAAAGAGTCATACTATATAATGAATAAGATTACCAAGCAAGGTCCTGGGCTGCAATGTCACACATCCCGTATGAATATATTCGATCAACTGTCGGAAGACATCGGGCTCGAATTCCTCAATAATCAACGTGTGATGCTGATTTGATTGCGGCTACGATACAAAAGTGAAATGCAAAGATCTAAACGAAGAAATAGGGATATTCAGAGTCAAGCTTAAATCGAATACCCATGCCAAGCGACTTGCATGGGAATCCGTATAAAGACTGGCGTATTAATAAAATCAAATTCACTAATTACAGGAAGAAATATGATGTTAGATAGAAAATATATGTATATGTATATGGGCGTAGTACGCTATATAGTAATTTGTAGATACGTATACTAGTTTTAGCTACTGTGCATTTAATATATATTAAAGATGTAAATAAAAAAATGTTAATTATCTAATTAATAACCCAGCGAACACTGTGCTATATTAAAGCGCTACATCCGTGGATATCTTTTAATTAAGCTTACACTTTGTTTGTTGCAAAAATTGTATCATACAGTTTATAAGATCAAGACGTTGATCTTATTAATAATTATAACTCGTTCGCTCGGTTGATTTATGAGTTACCATATATGAGCCAATACTAGAATAGTGAAATACCGTAATCGTGCCAATCTATAACAGTACAGTGGATTTGACGACTATGAGAGTACAATTCACTCGATCATGCACAAGTATCCAAATATTATAATGCACAGTCTAATTCATAATTCGTGTGGATTACATGTTCGAGCACGAATCTTAAGAACTATACATCTCTCTTCAACGCGTACGAAAAGAAAAACATTTGATCGTGTAAAAAACGTCAAAGCATCGGAAAGACATCAATTTATAAGTACATAAATTTTGAATGGTTTCCTACGAGAATTTCTCTAAATGGCGTTTCGTGAGGCGAAATCGTGATCGCAGTGCAGCGAGCGGAAAATCGTAGTGAAGAGAAAAAAAGTTAATTAAAGACGCTGGTAAAGAGGAGACAGGAATATGGAATAGAAACAGTTTTAATCTGTATAATTGTATATAAAAGTGACATTCAAAGTACCTCTTGGATGGGGGCCAGTTGCTGCGTGAACCCTGACCGCTACACGACACATACAAACGCACACTTACTATTTCTAGCCTGATAAAAGCGAGATATTCGTTTCAGCGATAGCCACGATAAATATGCAACGAGGCCCAAAAGAAATGAAGAAAAATTGTTTGCTCTTATACGATATATTTGCATAACATATTCTTTTATTTCATATTAATTGAGCCGACTAAGCAAATTTTTAATTTTTTCCAATCGATCTTCGACAAAATTTTGTATAAATTAAAAAATAAAAATAAAATCGATACGAAATAATAATTGGGGAACGCTTTGCATATCAAACGTGTTCGCCTCTTACTCTGAGAAATTGTTTATTTTATATCACGTATTATTTATTTAATAATTATCGTTTTTTCTGTTTTGCATTGCAATAATTAATATATACACATTCAGTTGAAGAAAAGTTATTAAAAGATATTAAAAAGAAGATCTCATATCTTTTTATTAAATTATATAATTTGATATTATACGTATCGTTCATGTGTCATACTCATCTTTTTAAAATTTGTATAATACAAACACGGGAGATTTATTAATAAATTTTATGTATTAATTTTTGTTTCTAGATACCTGTTGTGCGGCGTTCTGCAAATTCAGCAGTGGCTCGGAGCTGCGCTTAAGAAAGAGCCGAATTTTGTTTTCTCGTGCCGGCGGTTCCTTCTTGCGTTGCGGACTCGGAGTTTGATACAGCATTTTATGAAAGACTCTGAAAGAAATAAAGAAAGATAAATATCTTTATGCTCGTCGTTCTATGAATAAAAAATATTGTCGATACAAACCTGCTTCTGGCTGCAAGCACAGCTTTCACGGCGCAAACTGGTTCTCTGGTATCACCAACGAGGAACGTCACGTCGCAGAGTTCTGGCATACTCGCTAAAAACTTCATATCTTCGGCCAGGCCGGTTTTATTCTCGAAAGTCGAGTAATCCGCCTCGTCGGCCACCCCAGATCCTGAAGCTTCCGGCATTGGGCCCATATCGTCCTGCTGTTTATTTCACGAGGATCATTGTTATTCAATTTCTAAATAGTTCTTTGTTTTTACTTAATTTTTATTTAATCATCTAAATTCCGCGACTTTACCAATTAAGATAAAGGCATGGACTAGACTCACGATAAATACTATCGCGTACGCGATATTTACATTTATTTATTTCGTTCATAAATCGGCGTAAAAATTGCTCAATAATTATTATGTACACAAAGTAGTGCGCAGGCCTCGATAAAAATATCATGGCCTTTTAATACGTAGCATGTGGGGGGATTATATAAAAAAGAAACAACGCTTTCATCCATAAATTATTATTTAAAAGGTAATCTTTGCATCGTTATGAAGTAATCTAAATATCTAATAATTTTAATACATTTATGTACGGCTGGATACGTGCATTATCGACAACTTAAAACAAGCACTTTTCTTATTCCTTTTTATGCTGTAGAATGATTTCATCGAGAAAAAAGTCTGTTTTTCTTATCGACAAAACGTTTCTTTATAAAGGAGATACTTATAATGCGATCCCATCTAATGTTATTGAACTACTCGCTAAATAAAAAATTGTTTAAGAAAATATGTCAAGTTTAAAAAAGTAACACAGACGTGTTTTGATTCCATACATTAATTCTGTCAATAATGCTTCATATTTAATTGCTGCTGTCTATTGTCGTTACTTTTCAAATACTCGAGACAAATAATGTACGTCTATAAGACATCTATAGAAAGAATTATTCACAAGTTCTGTAATTTTCTTCAATATCGTTTTCATTATTCTTTCTCCAAAATGTTGTAAAAATTAATTTTTCATGTGTCTCTGTTGTTTGTTGAAAACATATGGATTCAAATAAGTTGTTATATTATTATTTAAAAAATCGAAATTAATTCTTTAATGAGACAATTTTCCAGCAAATTAATTATTAATTTAATTTAATACAACATTTTGCGTAAATTAAATCTACAATAAGATTAGATTAATCTGCAATTAGATTAATTAAAATGTTAAATTTATTTTTTTTGCTTTGCTAAATTATTTCACTTTGTTATCAATAAACAAAAAATATAGTATATCTCATTTCTCGAAGTTTATTGTTGCCGCTTTTCCGCGATGCTGATTGATTCTTTTGCTGCGCTAATTTCGTGAGTTACTGTCAATTTGCAAATGAGAATTTGTAAAAGGCGGACGAGGTTAATAGCGAATGAAACTTTGAATCGGTTTTGAACAAGGATAAAAATAAGATGAACAAGGATGAATGAGTTTCTATTTTTCATCACGACGGTACGTCGCTATCCATCAACGAATAATATAAAAATATAATATGAAATGCTTAGTGGCGCGCGCGTAGCGCCTGTTACGTTCTAGTATAATAAAAAGTGAAAGAAGAAAGAAGAATAGCCAACGATTATTAAAGAGCAAATAGGAAGAGAATAAGGAAGACCTCGATATGAAATGAAGTGTTACCTGTTGCTTTGATCCCGGAGCCTCGTCGCTTGCCGGGCTACTTTCGCCCCGAAAAAACACTTTTAACTCTTCTCAAATATCGTTGGAGAAATCACTCGGTTGTTGGCTGAATACACAGAAGAAGAAAATACAAATACGACAAATTAATTATTAAAGACCGTGAGACGCGCGGCTTAAGTTAAAAGAGTTAAATTATTATACACAAATATTAAATATTCTCTTTTTCATTAACATATACGTAATAAAAAAACATTACACATAATAATTTGGTAAATCCGGTATTTCAATTGCAAAATAAATAGTTTTCAAGAATTTAAATATAAGAACGTAAATACGATTATTGCACTCGGCAACGAGCTAAGTACGACATGTAACGCAGAAAAATTAATCAAAATTTCTAGATAAATTTATTTAGACACTTCGATGCCATGTGGCAAATACCTCAAGCTCGACAAGCAATCGACGTCGCGGGATTGATCGCGGTAGTTTTCCAGCACGCGTTTCCAACGAATCTCTCAGGGAACGAACGCACCCCTTTTCACCACGGAAGGGACAAAAAGCAAACTTTGTCGGCAAGAATGTCGCGCGCGAACCTCTCAATCCTGGTTGCCGTTTTTGAAGACTGGATGGAGGGATTCCGCACGCACCAGGTATTGCTTTCGTGACTAAATATATGGTTGGAGAAAACACGGGGCGAAGTCTCTGGATGAGCAAAGAGTCGCACAGGTACAGAGCTTCCTGTCGACGAGGCGTCGGAAAGGCGTCGCGGCGCCTGCGTCATGAGGGACGTCGACGCCATCCGCTTCTACGCCGACTCGACCCGGAGGACCTTGCTCTTATCGCACGGGACAGTTTCGAAGCGAAACGGATATCCTTGCACCGAGCGATTGACTGAATATCGCTCGAGAATTCATCCTTATCGCAAGATCCTACATGCTACAAGTTTGCCCCTTTTGTTAAAGTTATAATTCATAATTCTTGAAAATACATTTGATCGTATGTGAATTTTAGCGTAAATAATTTGTTGAGCTTTTTGCAATCTTTTTTTTTATAAAATACACAAGCTTATAATTTATTTGTTGAACAAAATGTAATATTTTTATTTAATTTTTCGCAGTCCTACTTTGAATTTTTATAGACAATTAATATTTTAATAATTTATTGAGAGTAGGCAATTGATGTAATAAAATTAAGAATACTTTTAATAAAGAAGTTTATTATTAGGCCATTGCTCATATAACTTTCCAGTATCTCAAATATTATTTCATATCATATACCCTTATTCTGTTGATATTTTCTTTTATAATATTCCTTTGATGTCAATAACACATGAAGAATAAAAGCAAAGATGATGCAAACTTCACCATAATGAATTCTGGCAATGTGAATTGGAATCATTTATATATTGGTGAAAAAGTTTTTGTCTCACTTCCGGGGGATTCCTCTATCTTTCTCTTCTAATCAATACAACTGAACACCGCAACAAGTTGCAACGCGGCCGGAAGATGTCAGAAAAATACTTTGGATTGGATCTAATTTAAATTCACAACTAGATTTATATAAATATTTTTAAGTTAATCTAGAAATATACTGCGTATAACATAAAATAAAATTATATATCATACAGACAGATTTTATACAGTACTATTTGTTTTTTTTTACTTATAAATAATAAAATTATAAATTTATATGTAAATTTCACTTTATCTGATTGACTTTTCATCCTTTTATCTTAATTAGAGAGTAAAACTACTTGAGTGTTTATTTTCTAGAGAAACAGTTCACCATGAGTATATTAATTTTAAAATTCTGATTTATAAAGGAATTACAATTTATGAACAAGAGCTAAATCGAGGATGAATGTAACATTCGAAACATTCGAGCTTTAAATCGCGCTTTAACCACCTCCTTGCAGGGCTTTTCATCCCCCTTTGTTCGAGTGGAATGTCTCCGACAGCGGCGGCATCTCCTGCAACGACGACGCCTGCGCGAGAATAACGAGCGATTTCATTCTCGTTTGCGTAGCAACCCCTCGATAATTGGTAAATGGTTCGATAGGAGCGAGTTCGTGATAATGAATCAGAAATCTCATTAACCGAGAAAGCTTTCTCATGTTGATCAAATTTGAAATGTAAAGATCGTATCGCCGCTTTCGCTCCCTCCCCCCCCCTCCTCCCCCCCCCCTCCATTCGAAACTGTTGGACTGTCAGATCGGAACGGCGGCGTTTCGTCCTGTGCGATTCCGTCACGAGATTTTTCCAGCGTGATTATTGATCCTTGGTGGGACCGCCGTTTACCTTGCTCCTCGAAACAGCCGGAACTCGTGGGTGGCCAGAATTGGGTCAGGGCTAAGCGAAAGCGTGTCATGTTCCATTTTCGCGCTGCTTTCTAGGCCCCGTAATAGAGGGAGAGAATCCTATTTATACATCCTCTTCCGAAAACGTATCACTCGGTGTATTCGTGTCCACTAATGCCGAGACACTTTGTTGTATACAAAAAGAGAGGACACACAATAATTTTTAATTAGCCAGGAATATCATATCAGGGATATTATTTTCATTTAAGATATTAAGATTGAAATAAAAAAAAAAAAAAATTAACAAGGTAGGATTCTTTGAAAACTATTCGTAACATAAAACAACATCGATTTATTCAACACAAATACTTGCACATTATGATAGAGGTTCGTAGTAATGATATAATAATGATAATAATATTCATATATACACGAAATAATATATATATATATATGTATAAGGCACGTTTGATATTATATTAATTAAACGCGCGACGGATGTCATGCGCGGGAAATACGCATCTTTATTTCCGGCAGTCGCGTTACTCACGTTTATTATTACTATCAATCGTCTTCGTCCCTTACGATATGCAACGTCCTTACCAAATGTAGAAAATGTCGTATATATAATCTGTATAAATGTCTCTGTCTGATCTATGCACTCGCGCTTATATCTGCTTGAATCATTGGATCATTAAAATCGAATCGCGAAGCGGGGATTCTCCCGTGCAAGATTATCCGCGACTTACACAATCACACTCCCTAAGCTATTCAACTGTGTCTTGTGTCTCGCATTGGCAAAATTGCGGATGCCGAGAAACTCGATTACTCCTAAAATGAGAATTGCTAGTTAGTCGTATCTAATTAAGCATGCACTCGTATGCGGACCAGCGCTCGTTGCTTTCTCTCTCTAGCTCTCTTCCTCTGCGGATTCTTTCTCGCAATTAAACGTATTTAATGCAATCGTGTACTCACGACTAATTATACACAAAATCGCAAACCGGAGCGCGATGCGGCTTGCTATATCTACAAAAAATGTAGCCGCAATTCTTTACTTTTCGTTGCGAATTCTGGATGTTCGGCTAATTTTAACAAAATTATGCATACGTTATAATTCCTGTTAAAAAAAGATCCATATATGATCTCTA